TGGCTGGCAGCCTGTGAGGCAGAGCATCACGGCTGAAGGCGTGGTCAGGGAAAGAGCCACCTCCCTTGTGACAGCCAGGAAGCGGCAGAGAGGAGGTCTGGAAAATATGTGGCTCCAAGGACAGCACCCCATAAACCTCTCCCTTCATCTAGGCCCCACCCATATCCTCGTTCCTACCACTCCTCAAGAATGCTGTCAGATTAGGACAATCCATTGTGGAAGGCAACTCTCTCCAGAGGGCAAGTGCTTACCGAAGGTGTAAGGTAGCAGCCACACACTTAACGTGTGAGCCTTAGATGGGGGGCTTTCAAAGTCAAAGCATGGTGGCCTCAGATCTGATCTGTCAGCATCAACCCCAGCTGACCACCAAGCCTTTACCACTTTGGGGAGATACTTCATATCCAGATCACGCCATTCTAGAGCAGTGGTTCTTAACCTTCCTAGTGCTGTGACCCTTTAATACAGCTCCTCGTGTTGTGGGGACCCCCAACCCTAACATTATTTCATTGCTACTTCAGAACTGTAATTTGCTGCTGTTATGAATCATAATGTAAATATCTGATACTTGGGATATCTGATATATGACCCCTGTGAAAGCGCCAAGAGGGATGTGACCCAAAGGTTGAGAACCACTGCCCTAGAACATTCATATCCAGGCTCCTTTCTGCCTGTGCCCACTCCTGGGTCACTCTGGCCAAGGGCTCTGGTGATTGCTTGTGATGGGGCTGAAAGGCCCAAAGGAGAAATGGCCTCTTTCCTGCTCGCTGTGTGACCACCTGGGAAACATTAAGAAGCTGGAGGGGAGAGTGTGAACTACTGAAGGGCCCTTCTGGCAGAGGGGAGAGGGAATGCTCCCTGCAGCTGGTATTATGTGTTATCGATTCACCCCTGACTGACTAGGTTCACACCCTCTGGTGTCCCCGTGCTGTGCAGAACAGCGACCCTCCACGGAAAGCACCACGCAGTCACTCCCAAGTGGTAGCTTCTGCTGGCACACTCATCCCTTGCTCCACCTCTGTCTAGTATATCCTGGTGAGCTCACAGTGGCACATAGCAATACACAGAACCACATACAAATAGCACATATTCGAAGTCACGCACACACACACACACACACACACACACACACACACACACACACTTATACACACACATCCACATGCAAGCACTCTCCCACACCAGGGGATAGGTATGCACATACTTACACAGCCCTCCCCTCTCACATCGCCCCGAGCCCATGTGCTCACCGTCTCTGTAATAGGGAGAAGGCAGCCTAGCTGAGGTCACTGCTGGAGAACCTCCAAGGGCTTGCTGGCCCTCACGAGTATAGAGGTCATAGGCCACAGGAGGTACCAAAAGACTTCCGGGGACTCTGCCCCAGACTATAGGAGCTGTGGTTTTGACAACAGTGGCAAGCCAGTAGATACATTGTGGTAGGGACGGTCTGGCTTGCCTGCAGGTGCCAGGGACTGGCTCTGGCAAGTCCACACAGGTGAAATCACCAGAGCCGCTCCTGACAGAGTCTCCCTCGTCCCTACCTCCATCTAACATATTTGTAGACAGGGCCAAAGTATTTTAAAACTCATTTCCCTGACCTAAAAAGGGTCTTTTTTGATTGAATAGGTTGTCTTAGAAGACTGACTAGGGACCATTGTCTATAAATATCTCAGGATGGAAATGGAGAAACCCCAAGGCTGCTGCAGCCTGACGGACCAGAGCCACCACCTGCCTTGAACTTCAGAACTGGGCAAAGTGAGACAGATGGGTCTGCGTCATCAGGAACTGGCATTCTGTTGAGCAAGCCCAGAGGTGTATCCAAGACACACTTCACAGTGCAGGGACTTTCACGGAGTCTGGGGGCTTCAACATGGGGTGTGGTCAGGACCCAGAGCTACCATGATGTGAGATGATTTGGGTGCTGAACTCTGCAGACTTTAAAGCAAGTCGTGTGTGTGTGTGTGTGTGTGTGTGTGTGTGTGTGTGTGTGTGTGTGTGTGAATGCCCATGCCATGACATGCCTGTGGAGGTCAGAGGGCAACTTGGAGGAGCCTATTATCTCCTTCTCCCATGTGGTTCCTGGTAGTTGAATTCAGACCATCTAGCTTGGTGGGAAAGTTAAGCTATCTCTCTTGCCTTGACCTTCTGAGACAACAACATTGAAATTTAGCCAAGTAATAACTGTGTGTTTATTGGCTTCTAAATGTCCAAGTGCAAGGATGAGCTTTGCAGGTTAAATAGAAAGTTGAAATGATTGGGCTTAGCCAAGGATGCTAAGGTCAGCCTAAAGCCAGGCCTCTTGCACTGAGGGGATCACCAAGTTCTGAGTGCCGAGGAAACCTTCTGGAAGGAAATTGAAAGTCCCACTCCATTGAGCACACTAGCGATAAGAAAGTGAAACAGCCATGTTGCCGACGTGGAGTCACATCGGAGAGATCAAACCAGCCTCAGCTTTCCCTCCAGGCCACTGCCTGACCCAGAGAGGGTTTCCACACTCCCTTTCTAGATCATAGGGGCCGTGAAGAGGTGACACTCAGTGACATGTTTCCAGTGTAGAGTAAACTGTCTCTCCTTGGATGAAGACTCTCCTGAGGACATTCATAGCTGGAGATCTCCAGCCAATGTCTGGAGAAGGAGAGATGGACACTTGTCAGGAGCCACCATGGATCTTAGGAATCATGCATCTGCTACAGCAAAAGAACAGCAAATCCCAGAGGGCCACACCCACCTCTGCTTACCATGTGACTAATATGGCTCCTGCTCAGACAAAAGGTCCCCTCGGACCTTTTGTATACAGTGTTCTGCCTGCAGGCCAGAAGGGGATGCCAGATGGGACTGCCAGATCTCATTACAGAAGTCCTTCAGAAAGTTGCTCTGGCATGTTTGATATTTGTTGCAATACCACTCACAACAGCAAAACTGCAGAATAAAGTAATGTGTCCAACAACAGAGAAATGGAAATGTGTTACTGTAAGGACCAGCTAGATGGCTCTGCAGGCAAGGTGCCAATAGACAAGTCTGATGATCTGAATTTAATCCCCAGGCCCCACACGGTGGAACGAGAGAACCAACTCCCAAAAAGTCACCTCTGCTTTTCACACATGCACCCTGGCAAGCAGGTGCCCCCCAAAACAAACTATATGAATAAGTAAATAAAATTTACAATATATAAAAAGAATGTCACACACACACACACACACACACACACACACACACAGTGGATTTTTCTTTTTTCTTTTTACGAAGAAGAATGAAGGCATGGCATCTGCAGGAAAATGGACACAACTGGAGACTATCAAATTAAGTGAATTAAGTCAGCCACAGAAAGACAAATACCATGTTTCACTCCTAGACGATCTATACATCATGTATGTCTCTATGACAGGAAATAGAAGTAAACCTGACTTCGGGGACAAACGGGAGGGGTGACAGAGGAGAGGGTGGAGGAGAATGGGGGGGGAATATGTTTAACCTACAATATATTCCTGAGGAAGTGTCTTCAGGTAAAACAAAATTCAAAATCGATAAATAATAAAATACCGACAATACCGTAGTTGGAGGCACACGAGGTCATGTTTTCATGTCTGTGGCTACAGTGCAGCCCTCGGAGCAGGGAGGAATCCCCACTCTTTGGTCTGATGAAAAAGTCTATTTGTAGGGCTGTCGCTGCGGTGGGCAGATGCCCCTCTGGTAGAACTGAGCAAAGTGAGTGGCCATTGCAGATGCCATTCAGAACATTTCCGATTCACAGGAAGGCCAGAGTCTACACTAGCCGACATTTGGAAGGCAGTTACAGTCCACAGGGGAGGGGGGAGGCTGCACTTACTGAAACAGCAGGCAAGCTTGACTTGACCTGGGGCCAAAAGACTAGTGGGTCACTGCTGTCCTGATTGCCTGTGGACAGCTGAGGAGCTGGGGTTAGGATGACCACAGGAGGGCATTTCTTCCTTTTAAAAATTTAAATCCTGCATATAGTTTACTTTTAAAAAGATTTTCTAAAAATTATGTGTTGGGGCTGGAGAGATGGCTCAGCGGTTAGGAGTACTGGCTGCTCTTCTTAGAGGCCCTGAGTTCAATTCCCAGCAACCACATGGTGGCTCACAATCATCTGTAATGAGATCTGGCACCCCCTTCTGGCCTGCAGGCAGAACACTCTGTATATAATAAATAAATAAATTAATTAAAAAATTATGTGTGCCTGTTTACGTGTTCATACAGATGTGTGTGGGTGCCCACTGGGTCTCATTATGATATCATGAGATGCATCAGACTCCTTTGGTGCTAGAGTTACAGGTGGCTCTGAGTTGCTGAACATGGGTCCTGGGCCACTCCACGTAGTTAAAGGGAAGATTTATTTAGTGGGTAACTTACAAATGAAGGGATAGGAAGGTCGCGGGTTCTGGGGAAGGTGTATCGCAGTCCAGCGGTGTTCTCTGGAGTTCTGCTCGGTCAACCTCCACCGTCCATGGGTCCAGGCACAGAGAGTGACCTGGCCCATCCAGATCTCAGGTCTCCAGGCTCAGCTCCTCCCTTAGCCCTGCCTTGTAGGCGTGACAGTTGCCGAAGCCTCAATGAGGGTTGGAACTTCCAGATCAAAGCTGGAATGGCTACAGAACTCAGGTTCTTGCAAGAGCAAGATGCACCTTTTTTTTATTTTTTTATTTTTATCACTCAAGCCACATTTATTCAGTATTGTGTTTTTACTTGGGGGGGGCGATGAGGAGGAAGGGGCAAAAACAGTGTCTCTTTGGAGTCTCCCAAGTGTATGGGACTCAAAAGTATATGTATGGGGACTGGATGGCATGGCCAGGCAAATCAGATGGAAGGCCCCTCAGACTCTTTTTTTCTACTGATTCCTACAAATAAAATGCTAAGTGACCGATCTGTGGTACCTGATAAATGCCAGTTGCTTTCCAGCTGGCTTTCTACATAGGCTACAGACATCTAGACAGCATCATCTTTCTCCTTTTTCAGAATAAAACTCACCTAGGAAACTAGGGAACTCCAAGTACAGTACAGTTTATATAGAATGCAGCTGGTAAGCTGTCTCCCCATCCTCTCCATCCTCCCCATCCACTAAGCCAGGAAGGCGCTGAGAGTAGAATTTCCTGCCTGGCTTCTCGGAGGGCTAGCCAGCTTCTCTGGCAGATTCCACATGGAGGGCTGTGGGCTGCAAGTCTCTAGTGCACAGTCCTCTCCTTTTGCCGATGATAATTGTAAGGAAAGAAGCGCACGCACATGCTGATTTCTCAGGCTGTCTTTAGGATTTCAACAGCTTTGCTGTGCTCAATATCCTGGAAATCTACATCATTCACAGCTAGAACTTGGTCCCCTTCTTGAAGTCCTGCTCGATGTGCATCCGAGTCTGGAATCACCTTGGAGATGAAGATGCCTAGCTGGGAGGCCTTTCCTCCTCGGATGTTAAATCCCAACTGAGCGCCAGGGGGCTTCTTCAGTGTGACAATTCGGGGCAGAAACTGGGTCAGCTCATTGTTGTAGTCTGGGTGGTACACTCTCTCATGAGGAGGAATCCATGCTGGAGGATTCTCATAGGTAGGCAGGAAAACCACTGGGTAGTCATCATAAGGGATCCGGGTGTCCATTTCAGGCAAAGCCCGGCAAACAGGCCTCCCTCCGCGGCGCCTCGGCTCGCAGCCAATTCGGCCCAGGAACCGGAAGCGGATGCAAGATGCACTTTTTAAAGAATATGTGTCTGCATGTGGATATGTGCACATGAGTACAGGTGTCCACAGAGACCAGAGGCTTCAGATCCCCTGGAGCTGGAGTTACAGATGGCTGTAAGGTGCCTGATACGGGTGCTAGGAACTGAACTTGGGTCCCCTGGAAGAGGATAAAGTACTCTTAACCACTGAGCCATCCCTACAGGGCCTGTACTTTACTTTTGTAGTTAACTTTTCAGTTAGTATACAATAATGGGTTTCACACACTCACATCATTTGAAAGGGTAAGTCCTGTCCCACTCTCTTCTCTACCTCTGCTGGCCCTTGTCAACAAGGACGTGTCTTTCTGTGGGAGGTTAGTTGCTTTGTTTCATTTGTCAACTTGACACAAACTAGAGTCACTTGGAAGAGGGAACCTCAACTGAGGAACTGCCCCCATCAGATTGACCCGTAGGCAAGTCTGTGGAGGCATTTTCTTAATCAATGATTGGTGTGTGTGTGGGTCTAACCCACTATGGGTGGTACCACCCTGGGCAGGTAATCTCAGGTCGTGTAAACAAGCAGGCTGAGCAAGCCTTAGAGAGCAAGCCAGGAAACAGCGCTTGCTCCTCCATGCCCTCTGCGTCAGCTCCTGCCTCCCAGTTCCTGCCCTGCGTTCCTGTCCTGGCTTCCTTCAGCGATGGACTGTGATGCAGAAGTGTAAACCACATAAACCCTTTCTACCCAACTCGCCTTTTGGTCATAACGTTTTATTAGCAACAGAAGGCAAGCCAGGACAGGGCACAATTGCACGTATGTGTGCCTATGGAGGGCAGAGGACAACCTCAGGCATCCTTCCTCAGGCCCTTTCATTTGTTGTTTGAGACAGGGTTTCTCAATGGCCTGGTCCCCACCCCATGCTGGGCTGGCTGGCTGGCTATTCACAGCAGGGATCCACTTGTTTTTCCCTCATAGCTTGCCATCACTGGGGTCAAGTGCACCCCATTATGCAAGCTCATTTATTTCATGAGTATGGATGTTTATTGGTATTCGTGTGTGTGTGTGTGTGTGTGTGTGTGTGTGTGTGTGTGTGTGTGTGTGTGTGTGTAAGTTGACACTGGGTATCTTCCTCGAGCATTCTCCAGTTTTTATTGAGGCAGGGTCTCTGGCTGAACCTGGGGCTTGTTCATGTGGGCCAGTGTGGTTAGTGTGCCCAGCCAGGGCATCTCCTGTCTCTGCCTCCTGGGGATTATAGCAGTTGTTGCCCCTGCCTGTTTTTCTGTGAGTGCTGGGGATTTGAACTCTCACCATCAAGCTTTCATGTTTTATCCACTCCACTGTCTCCCCAGCCCGGGCTTGATTTTTTACATGGTTTCTGGAAATTCAGACTTGGGACTTCATACTTTTGTGGCAAGTGCCTTACCCACTTAGCCATCTCCTCACCCTCCGGGAAGGAGGTTCCTTGAGAAGGAATCCAGCCCTGTGACAAAGTGACAATAGATGAATATGAATCACGATATCATATAAATTTAGTTGAGAAGCGGACACCGGGCTAGAGAGGATTATTCCAGCTTTGAGAGAAATGTGTCACAAACTTCAGGGAATGTCCATGAAGGGAGGATGGACAGGGGTAGCACAGTCCACTGTCTTATTAAGATAAAAAGTCACCTTGAACACTGCAGCCTTTCACAGCCACCACGTTGATCAGTCAGCAGTCGTCTATGTCAGTGACATCGAGGAGTGACCTCCAGAAGCAGATACAGCTCAACAGAGGCCCAGATGGTTCCTGGCACTAAATCCTTTATTGCTATATATGTATTTTATGCTATAAAATATCTATCTCTCTCTCTCCACACATATGCACGCACACGTGCACGTGCACACACACATAAAATAAATGTGACGACCTAATGCACTATGCATTTAATAGATCCTGGTGAATGGGGCCTTGCAGCACAGGCCTGTAAACCCAGCTGAAGAGGCCAGTCAGGAAGATTGCCAAGTTCAAGGCCTACCTGGGTTACAGAGTGAATTCAAGGCCCAAGGAGGTCCCTGAAAGAAATCTTATTTCGAAACAAAAGAGTGTAAAGAAGGCTGTTCCCACAATCCACTGGTCGGTCCTGAAGTAGTTTGTCACCCAAGGAGAAAGCAGAATGTCAGAGCTAGGGAAGCTGCGAATGTGCAGGCTTGGTCTCTGATCACGTGTGCCAGTCTGGAAGGATGGAGCTGTGTGAGACCCAAACCCACCAAACACTCAGATGGCTGGACAGACAACAGTGGCCGTCTGTCCACTGTTACAGAGCAGGGGCAGTACAGTGCTCCTAATCTGGCCTTTTCTTTTTAATTTTTTTTTCCGAGACAGGGTGTCTCTGTGTAGCTTTGCACCTTTTCTGGAACTCACTTGGTAGCCCAGCCTGGCCTCGAACTCACAGAGATCCGCCTGGCTCTGCCTCCCGAGTGCTGGGATCAAAGGCGTGCGCCACCACCGCCCGGCTTACATTTTTATCTATGTGTAAGCATGTCCCGGCAGTGCCTGCTCCTAGGTAACAGTTGTTTCAGATCCCAGCATCAAGCAGGCATCCATGACCTGTTATATTTTCCCCTCTTCAATAAAAGTTCATTAAAAAAAAGGGGGGGGGGAGAAAGGCTTGAGACCATTAAGAGCATGAACTGCTCTTCCAGAGGGCTCAAGTTCAATTCCCAGCACCCCCAAGAGGGCTCACAATTGTCTGTGATTCAAGTTCTAGCGGATCTGGCATCCTCTTCTGGTCTCTTTGGGCACTGCATGCATGTGGTACACAGCTGTACAAGCAGGTACAACACTCATGCACATAAAAACAAAGAAGGAAGGGAGGCTGGTTCTTGCTTTCAGGACACGAGAGCTGGGTTGGCATGCTGGTGTCACAGAGAGCATCTGCCACTGTGGAATGCTGACTGTCCCAGGACAGAAATTCCTACTGCCTAGGCAGCCTTATCCCGACACTAGGTCTTTCCTGGGGTGGATCCCAGGTTGCTACCTAAGCAAGACTGGGCCTCCTCAAGGGCCCATCTCACGTGATAGGAGAGCATTCTGGATCCAGCAGCCCAGGCTCCCGGCTTTTCTTCATTTCTTCATCTGGACTCTCCTGACTGCTTTCTGCAGGAGCTAGAGAGATAACAGCAGTCTCTCCCTTCCTCTCTCCCTCCCACCTCTGTTGAGAGCGCTTGCTACTCACACAAATGACTGTTCTCACTTGATGGGTCCTGAGTGCTCTTAGCTCAACTCCGGTGACTTGACGCTGAAGGTAGACGCTGGTTCTGATGTGGCCGGGATATTGCCAGTGGGCAGGTAGAGGTGTGGGCTTCACCCATGGTGTCTGGGCATATCTTCTCTGTGCCCTCTGGGTAACTCTGCCACTTGTATCCATCTGTTTCTCTATTGGCATAACAGCAAGGGGCAGGGGCTCACTGTCTTGGGGAGGAGCTGTAGCAGCGGGCGAGGGTTGACAGATACACAGGTAGGGTAGCTTAGACCCTCCACGAATGCCTGTAAATGTTACAGTTGTGTGGGCATCTCTGCCCTCCACCCTTGGTCAGCAGGCTGCTTCCTGCTGTGGGATGGTCTGTATGTCAAATGCTCTGATTGGTCAATAAATAAAACACTGATCGGCCAGTGGCCAGGCAGGAAGTATAGGCGGGACTAACAGAGAGGAGAAAGGAGGGGACAGGAAAACAGAAGGAGTCACTACCAGCCGCTGCCATGACAAGCAGCATGTGAAGATGCCGGTAAGCCATGAGCCACGTGGCAAGGTATAGACTTACGGAAATGGATTAATTTAAGCTATAAGAACAGTTAGCAAGAAGCCTGCCATGGCCATATAGTTTGTAAGCAATATAAGTCTCTCTGTTTACTTGGTTGGGTCTGAGCGGCTGTGGGACTGGCAGGTGACAGAGATTTGTCCTGACTGTGGGACAGGCAGGAAAACTCTAGCTACAACTTCCATTTCTAGAGTATACCTTTTCTCCTTGCTTGTCTTCATGGCTAGCATGACCTTGTGCCTCTACATGTTCCTTCCTCAGTGGCCCAGTGGCCCTGGATGCACATGAAAGCTAGAGAAGCCTGGGCCAGTGAGCAAGCCTGGGCCAGTAAGCAAGCTAGCAAGCAGCATTCTCTATGGGTTCTGCTCCAAACTCCTGCTCTGACTTCCCTCACCTGTGAGCCGAAATAAACACCTTTCTCCCCTAAGTTGCTTTTGGTCAGAACATTTTATCACAGTTACAGAATGAAACTAAGATAGTGCAAGCCCCTTCCAGACAGTCAAGGGAGGAAGGATGTGTCTTTCACCCTCCTACCTGGCTGAAGTCATTTACAGCCCAACACATCTCAGTCAGACCCAAACCCACAAAGCACTCAGATGGCTGGACAGACAACAGTGGCCGTCTGTCCACTGTTACAGAGCAGGGGCAGTACAGTGCTCCTAATTTGGCCTTTTCTTTTTACATTTTTATCTTTGTGTAAGCATGTCTGGGCAGTGCCTGCTCCTAGGCCATTCGGTTGTGTCCACAAGACTTTCTCCTAACTTGGCCACCAGAGGGCGCGCGGCCTCCACGCAGGGAAGGGTGCCAGCACAGCTTGGGACTCCTTTCCCACCTAGCTACCAGACAATGCAGGACCACAGGGAATTCACAGAAAATGAAGAGCACACCCTCACCCATGCCTCACGCTCCTGGGACAAATGAGAGTCAGAAAAAGGAGAGGATCTGGATATGTGTGAGTAAAAGGCCCAGGGCCGATTCTTCTGCAACCAGCATCTTTTACACTTATGTCCAGAGGAGAGCTGGGGTCGCCCAGCATCTGCTGGACCAGGACCGCAGAAAGTCAGCTTCATGAACTTACAAAGAGAAATGGAACCATCTGCATCCCTCCAGAGCTGCCTTTGGACAGCCTGTCTCTGTAGGCGCTGACGGTGCCAGTGGGGCTAATGGCAGCTGACCACGGACTCTGACCTTGTAGACTGGGGGTTCCTAGAAA